ACATGCATAAGGGAACTTAGAGTCATAGAATCATAGAGCTGGAAGAAAACAAAAGGGTCATCTAGTCCAACCCCCTCCCATGCAGGAACTCACAATTAAAGCACCCCTAACAGATGGCCATCCAACCTTTGCTTAAAACCCCCCAAAGAAGGACCCTCCACTACACTCTCAGGCAGTGTGTTCCACTGTCAATCAGCTCTTACCATCAGGAAGTTCTTTCTAATGTTTAGGCGAAATCTCTTTGCCTGTAGTTTGAATCCTTTGCTCCATGTCCTAGTCCCTGGAGCAACAGAAAAAATAAGCTTCTTCCATCCTCAATATGACATCCTTTCAAGTATTTAAACATGGATGTCATGTCACCTCTTCTCTTCCTCTTACAGATATGTAAGTCACAAACAAGATGTCAGTTTACCATCAGCCCAAGTTCTTTGTGACCAGTTGTCTGGGATGATTGGGGAAGTCATCCAAAACATCTGGAGGACATCACATTAGAAGAGACTGTTCAAGCATTTCCTAAACAGATTAGCCATCTTGAATCTCAACTGATTAATTAATTAGCTAGTTAAGTAAGTAGATTGCACACATAAGTAGGAGGAGCATTCTAGCCTGCCCACTTCTGTTGGCAGTGTTCTTTCTGTCACTCCCAACACATGCTGGACAATTTTCTAAAGAGGAGAAGTTCTATCAACATCTTCAGCATTGTCCTGCTCTCATGCTGTGACAGAACGCTGAATGCCAACAGTTCAGTAGCCGAAGGAGCAAGCAGTATCCTATAACAAACAGTCTAGAGTCAGAAGCCATAAATCCAGGTAAAGTCCACAAATAGCAGATAACATAGTCAAGAAGCATTCCAGGATCGTAAATCACAGAGGCAGATCTCACAGTAGACACAGGCAGATAGAGAAACCAAGTTTGTTTCCAGCAACCGAAAGGAGGAAAGGCCCTTTACCTATAAAGTCTGCTGATGCAGCTCCATCCAACTTGCAGATGATATTTCAAAAGGGTGTTTCCCAGCTGCGTGTGCACAGACGCTCACTTTGTCTGCAGGGGAGGGACTGGATTTGTGCCAAATGCTGAAGCCTTCACCTTTCCTGAGGACTTGGAGCTGTCGCTCCTATATTTTCCTCTTCCTGTGGAGGACTCAGGTGGCTGTCAGACTGGGCTGAAGGTCACAGCTGTGGTAGGTCTGTTTCGTTTTCTGAAGCTGAACTTTCAAAGGGTGGTCTGGCAGTTAGATCTGTTTCATCTTCAGATGAATACCCATTTCAGAAAACAAATTCCAGGTTTTACATAATTCACAGTTGTAAATGGCTGGAATCTTCTATCGCGGTATATGTTGCATAATTATGCATATACTTAGCTATGTAGCAGAGACACTCAGAAACCCTGTTAGTGAATTGTAAAGATGCATAAAAGGACATCAGTAAGAGTGCGCCAATGCACATGGGGCTCTACAAATGTACATTATTTATTATTATCTACACTCTTTAGCCAGTGCATTTTGGATGTGCAAAGGGTCCAAAATGCAATGGTCCCATTGTGTGTTGGTCCCAATACACATCGGTTACTTTTCTGGGTCCCTTTAGGTAGTAATGTAACATCAGCCCTTTTTTGGATACAGATATGATGAAATTGCCCAATTCTAATTCTTGCAGATGTAGGTCCAATTAGAAAAACATACATCCCCAGAAGGATTCTGGCCTTTATTTATTTATTGGTAGTGCTATGGGACCTTTTAACTTGACATCTTTAAGGACCTTAGCATGGCTTGTCTAGGTTTGTATGTGAGTGTCAAGCATGCAAAGAAATGTGAAAGGCATGACTGCATAAGACACATCCACATGTGAAATACACAATGTGCATACACATGTGCAATGCACAGTAGCACCACATGTGCAATGGCTCTGCTTCTGCAACCGTCAACTGAATAAAGGTGTTGCGCCGTGGCCAAAAATGGACAACCTGGGGCTTAGGGATGCGTGCACCAGGGAACATATACATACCTGAACCCCTGGATGCCATCCATAATCTCATACCTTCCAACATGCTACATATGGAAACCAGGACACGTATAGTCAAGCAACCTCAGAGTGTGGTCAAGATGACAAAGGTTCTTAATGAAGAAGAACAGAAAAACTAGGAAAGGCTACAGCAGTTAGCTTTTATTTTTTCATTTCATTTGTATGCTGCCTTTCTCCCAGAGTGGTACCCAAGATGGGTCCCTGAC